CTGGGCTTTCTCGGGGCCCGTCTGCGCGTTGTTCGAATTGCCCTGGGATTTGAGCGCCCGGAATGGGTACAGAAAAAATGGGTACAATGCCAAACAACAAATGTTGTCCAAAACCGACAGCGGCCGCTGTTGGGCAGGCGGCTTTTTGTCTTCAGAGAACAGCGTCGCGGCGGCGCGGATAGCGAGATCTGCTCAGAATGAACAAGAACTGCTGTTGGGCACTGTGCCGATTCTTTCCGTACCCATTTCGATCGTCCCGATGGGAACCTCTTGGGACCCTGCTGGCCCCTCCCGCGACCCTCCTGGGACCTCCCTCCCAGGCCGTCATGGGCCGCCTCGGGGCTCTCCTGGGGCGCTTCGGCTCCCTCTGGGGCACAGTTGGCACCCATTATGTTCACCTTTTCCTAACCATCCTCTGGTGTTGGGCCCTCGTTTTGAAGAGACACCGCCCCGCGTCTCCCTCACTCCCTCCCTCCTGCCCCTCCCTCCTGCTCCTCTTCCTCCTCTTCCCTCCTCCCCTGCGGTCCGGACCTCTGCTTTCCGCATGTCAACCAGTTCGGCGCACCCCTAACACGCTTCGTGACCCCATATGGGGGCTCCACCGGAGGTCCCAGCGGTGACGATCGCATGCGCCCGCCCCACCCAGTACAACCCTTCGTGGCCACATAGGGAGCTCACCGAAGGCCCCAGTGGCGAAATTTCCATGCGTCCGCCCCACCCAAATACAAAGTGTCGTGACCCTATAGGGAGCTCCACAGAAGGCCCCAGTGGCGACGTTCGCTTGCGTCCGCCCCACCCAGTGCAACGTTTCGTGGCCCCATAAAGTGTTCCACTGAAGACCACAGGAGGCGACGTTCGCATGCGTCCCCCCCGCCCAGCACAGCGCTTCGTGGCCCCATACGGAGCTCCACCGAAGGCTCCAGTGGCTGTGATCACATGCGTCCGCCCCGCCCAGTATAGCGTTTCGTGGCCCATAGGGAGCTCCACCCAGGCCCCAGTGGCGACGTTCGCATGCGTCCACCCCTCACAACTACACCGAAGGCCACAGCGGCGACGCTCGCATGCGTCCACCCCTCCCAGTACAGCGCTTCGTGGCCCCACAGGGAGCTCCACCGAAGGCCCCAGTGGCGACGTTCGCATGCGTCCGCACCACCCAACATAACGCTTCGTGACCCCATAGGAGGGGGCTCTACCGCAGGCGCACGTTGCGACGTTCGCATGCGTCCGACCCTCCCAGTTCAGCGGTTCGTGGCCCCATAGGGGGCTCCACCGAAAGCCTCAGTGGCCACGTTCGCCCACCCATTGCAGCGTTTCGTGGCCCAGGAGGGGGCTTCACCGCATGCCCCAGTGGCGACGTTCGCATGCGTCGAACCGGTGCAACGTTTCGTGGCCCCATAGGGAGCTCCAGCGGAGGCCCCAGTGGCGACGTTCGCATGCGTCCCCCCACCCAGTGCGGCGTTCCGTGGCCCCAAGCTCCACCGAAGGCCCCAGTGGCTGTGATCACATGCGCCCGCCCCGACCACTACAAAGTTTCGTGGCCCCATGGGGAGCTCCAAAGAAGGCCCCAGAGGCGACTTTCGCATGAGACAGGGGCGCCCAGCACAGCACTCCGCGGCCCATAGGGAGCTCCACCGAAGGCCACAATGGCGACGTTCGCATGCGTCGCCCCCGCCCAGTATGGCCCCCCCCCTTATACGTGTCGTAGTCCCGTGGGGAGCTTTTCTGAAGGCCACAGTGGCCATGTTCGCATGCGTCCCCCCACCGATTTCGGCACACCATTCACGCGTTTCGTGGCCCCATACGGAGCTCCACCGAAGGCTCCAGTGGCGACGTTCGCATGCGTCCCTCCCGCCCACTTCGGCACACTCCTCACACGTTTCGTGGCCCCGTAGGGAGTTCCACAGGCGGCCACGATGGCGACGTTCGCATGGCGCCCCCGCCCCATTTCGGCACACTCCTCACGCGCTTCGCGGCCCCATCAGAGAGGGGGTACACCTAAGGCCTAAGGCCCCAGTAGCCGCGTACGCATGGTAGCCTCGCTCCATTTCGGCACACCCTTCACACACTTCGTGGGCCCATATGGAGATCCGCCGAAGGCTATTCCCACACTGGCGATACTCACAACTGCACAATTGCACAACTGCATATGGTTGGGTCCTTCGCTGGATAACTTGACCGTCTAGGGGCCCTCTTGGGGGCCGAGGGCTCAACTCACCCGACCAGAAGGCTCAAATTCCAACCTGATGCTTCAACTCTGGCCGAAGCTGGGACTGGAGCCCTTCATAATTGCACTGTAATGGGAATGAAAACTGTTTCGAATGCTGTGTCACGGTCGGAATCTGCAGCCTCTTATTTGGCAAAGCAAAGCAATATGTATGATTCTCTACATGGTATCGAGCCTAACTCTGCAATTGCAATTTTCGCGCTGGAGTGTAATGCGAACAACTCTTAGGTGAACATCGGAGATCTCGACCCTTTCCAGGATCTTGAGCTGCTTTGCTGACAGTTCTGCGAACGGGGTCATTGCTGGCAGGGGTCAGCCAGTGTCTAACGCATATATTCACGTCTGGAGAAAGAGGCGGGCAGTTTGTCGTCGTATTCGGGTTATGGGGGGTGGTTTCTGGGCCACCCCCGATTCCTGTGCATCTCTTCCCCCTTGGGGGTAAGTTTGCGTCCTGGATTTGTTCCTGCGAGCCCCAGGGCATGAAAACAGACCACGGAAGCCGAAATCGAGGAAAAAATGCGGGGATTGAAAAACTCACTCACACCGTCTGAGATCTGGGTGCCCGCGCTGGGAACTCTTGACATTCCCCCAGGGCCGCTTGGTCATCCTGAGTAATTGTTTCGTGGCCCCGGATCCTGAAAATGGCCCCCCAAGGGCGAACACGGCGAAACATTCTTGTTTTTGTTCAAGACGCTGGACGTCTGGCAGGATCAGTCAGCATCGAACCCGGCGTCGGATCGGATCGGAACGTGGGTTAGATCGGGCTGCATCGGCACGGAGTCCCGATCAAATCGGATCGGAACGTCGAAAGCCGAAATCGAATCGAGCCACGCCCGGTGAACTCGATGCCGAAGCGAGCCAGATCGGCTGAAGCGGAATGGGTCCTGCCTGGGCCTCGTCAGCGCTGGCCCCTTCCCACGGAGCGCTCGCCCCGAATCGGCGGCGCGCCGTAAGGGGGGAGGCAGAGGGGGCGGGCCTTCTCGGGAAGGTAGGAAGCCTCTGGCCTTCTGCGGAGCGTTCTGAGGGCTGCTACAAGCCTCGTCAAAAATTCGCCGGCCCAACGGGCCAGAGGCGTGCTAAGATATCCGGTAACTGCTGTACAGTATTTATACTTCGCGCGCGGGGGGCGGCCCCTGGGGGTCCCCCGAGGAAAAGTACCCCGGCAGGGTCGGATCAGAGATAGTTTTCCGTCTGGGCGCTGCCCTCGAGACCCTCCAGAGAGTCCAAAGAAGGGTCAAGAGGCCTCCAAGAGGCCCCCAAGATGATACAGGAGGGCTCGAAGATGCCACAAGATCGCTCCAAGACGCCCAAGATGGCCCCCAGACGCCCCAAGAGGCCTCCAAGAGCACTCTCAAGAGGGCCCCAAGATGCAAACATCATTGCTTTTCCTTAGGTTTTGGACATATTTGGGTGTTTTCACCTTTTCGGCTTCCTGACGCCCCAAAACGGCCCAAGAGGCCCCAAAGATCGCCCCAAGAAGGCCCAAGATGCCCCCAAGAGGGCCCCAAGACGGCCCAAGAGGGCCCCAAGACGGCCCAAGAGGCCTCCAAGACGGCCCAAGAGGACCCCCAGAGCGCCCCAAGAGCGGCCCCAGAGGGGGAGCACGAAACAACATGTCGAGCCCTCAGTCCTGAGAGGCCTCCAGGAAGCCCCAAGAGGCCCCTAAGAGGCCCCCAAGAGCCCTCAGGAGGCCCCCAAGACGCCCCCAAGAGGCCCCCAAGTGGCTCTAAGAGGCCCCCAAGAGGCCTCTTGGAGGCCCTAAGAGGCCTCCAAGAGGCCCCAACGGGCCAGCGGAATGAGCGAAGTGATTTAATAAACAGAAGACTTCTCAATTCGGTGATTGTGGGGTCAGCGCTACTCCAATGCTGACGGATGCCCGTTGGCTCGGACGCGGCGTTGTCAAAAAACCGACCCCAGCCTCCCAGCATTGAAGAACGCGCTTTCTGACAAGTGCCCGAAAGCATCGTGCTCCAGGATTTAACTTCCACGTCTGGATATTTTTGACGAGGCTTGTAGGAGGGCTGCTAGGAGGGCTGCTAGGAGGGCCGGGGGGGCTTCTGCGAAGCCCCCCCGCCTTCTGAGAAGGCCTGCCCCCTCCCGCTTCTCCCGTCGGCGCGCCACCGAACTTGACTTTCGGGTCATACCTCGGGCCTCTCGCGGCTCTTCGGAACGATCCGGGCACCCCCCGAACGGTCTGGGCGAGGCGCAGCTGCTGGAACAGAGGCCTCCTAGATGGTCCGAGTAGATGGGGTCGGAGGATCTCGCCGCATCGCCGCCGCATCGACGATGCATCGGAGATGCATCGGCGATGCATCGGCGATGCGCTGGCGGCGATGCGGCGATGCATCGGTGACGTCGGCGTGGAGAAAATTGGGCCCCACATCGAGCCGCATCGCCGATGCATAGCCGATGCAGGCGCGATCCTCTAACCCCGTCCAGGAGGCCTAGAGGGAAAGGCATCCCGAGGCTGGAAAGCCGTCGGGAACCAGCGAAGACACGCCCGAAAACCGGAACCTCGAAATGTTGTCCCCCCCCCGTCGGCTCGGAGGTGGACAAACCTCCCTTCAGTAAACCACCCTTCAGTGAAAACTGCCTCGGACCGAAACCGACGGACCTGGACCAGCAAAGATGACGGCCGCGACGCCTTCTCGCGAACCGAATACGGCCAGTTCGCTCATCGACGTGCCAGGGCAGGAGGTCTATCTGCCTCCGATCGGCGCGCCGCCGAGCCTGGGCCTCGCTGACCGCCCGCCGCCCCCGTGCGCGGGCGGAGGGCCTGGCGGCGGCGCCGCCGGCCTCGTCCAGGCGCGCCTCCAGCCTGCGCAGCTCCTGCCAGCGGCGGCACCGGCGCGCGCGTCGTCCGAGCGACGAGCCCAGATCTCTCCGACGGGGCGTGGTTGTTTCCATCCATGTGGGTGCTGTTATTCGATTTCGGCCTCCGGGGTCCCTTCTCGGGCCCCAGGACGGTCGAGCAAGGATCCGGGGTAAAAGCTGCCGTGGAGAAAGCCGTCGGGACTGGAGGGCCGCGGATCGGGAAGAAACATGTCGGCGGATGTCAGGGAAGAGACTCAGGTCGACATAACAAGAACCTGCCGACGATGCCCGCGCCCACCGTGAGAATCCCAAGCGAATTCGGCTTCCACTCCCAACCACATGACGTGGTTGTGTCGTAGTCGTCTTGGTCGTCGTCGTGGCCATCCTTGCACTCTTCTTCTTGTAAGGAGGTCCCGTCTCGGGCACCGGGATCGTCAGAAGTCGGCCCAGGGTGAAAGACTGCCCAGGACGGACTTCAGCCTGGGTCCACAGACAGATTTTGGAAGGATGTCAGTGCTCTTTGCCGTCATCGTAAATCGGATCCATCAGCATCGAATCGGGAAGTGGGGTCGAGCCAGGGAACCAGATCGAGCTGGAATGCGCGTCGGTTCGAGCTGAATTGCAAGGGGTCGAAATCGAATCGGGTCCGCTGCGCCAGGATGCACGACAACGCCATGCAAATATCCGCCCGCATCGGATCGTCAAACCTTCCGTATAGACAACTACAGAATGCCATCACACTCGGAATGGGATCTGAGATTCACAGCTGACACGCGGATGGAGACCAAGTCGTTTTGAACATGGGGCTCTCGCTTTTACGCCGCGCACATTCGTCTTAAATAAACCTTTCAGCTACATGGATGAAGGGTTTTTGTTGTTTTTCCAATGCTGCTCATGCTTTGGCGCGGCGCGCGCTCGTCGAAACAGTACCAATCAGTTACACGGGTGCGTGGCGGTTCCCTTTTCAAAACAGGGTCCCTCGCTTATTAAGACACCCTCGGGCTTGGTGACGGGAGCTGTCAAATGGTGCAACGACTGCACGAAAGGAGACCAGATCCTTTCAGATCGGAGCTCGCGCTGGACACTTCCTTGGACTGTCTGGCCCCACCTCTTTGCGAGTCTCATGGTTAGAATTAGGTCGAGCATGTCCCCCTACAGGCGGATGTTGGGCGAAAAATGAAACATACTCAACAAATACCCCCTAAATCGTCAAAAATTGTAAAACACTCGTCCCAGACTATATTTGGTCTATTTCTGAATATTCCTCCTGTAGAGGGACGCGCCCGGCTTAAAGCTAGAAAGACGAGGGTGGATCTCTCACAAAACTGGGTCTCGCCCGAGTGGCGGACCCACCGTTCCATCGTCGAGGGGGGCGCCTCCCGCAGAGGAGAGGAACACTTGTAGGCACTTGTGCGAGAAGGAGCTCGGAACTGGATGATGTGCTGCAACATTGTTGGTGCATGTTGGGTGTGTTTGGGCCCTCCTCGTCCACCACCTTCTGCTGCACCTACTCCTTCCCGCTCGCTCTTCTCCCTCTCCTCCTTCTCCTGCTCGTTCTCCTCCTCGTCCTCCTCCGCCTCCTCCTCCTCCTTCCCGCAATAGCCTCTAACTCATCATCCTTCCCCTCCCTCCTCCGTTTCCCAGGCGGGCAGACTGCTGCAATGCCGAATCCGACAGACCTCCTTTTCCTCCCCCCTCCGCGCTTCCAGGCGTTGCGCTTCAGACTTTTTTGCGGTTTACAACCCCGAAACATAAACTTCCAAGACTTACGCGGATAGGTTTTCGAAATGTGGTTCACGCGCAAGCGCCGCGCACATTCGTTTTAAAAGCTTCGAACAATTACACGAATGTATGCTGGGACGATCCCAGAAAGTGTCTCACACTAGCGCCGCGCGCACACCCGGCTTGGTCCAACAATTGATCGGATGAAAGGCTGATCGCTTTCAACATGCAAATCTCGCCGTCGCGAAGTGAACATTCGTCCTAACAACCTCCAGTAATTACACGGACGGAGGCCCTCTCGCTTTGAGATGGGGCTCTCGCCAGATAATCCCTCACCACATATTACCACACCTTCTAGACTGTGCAGCAATTCCACGAAAGAAGGGGTCCTCGCCTGAGACTGACGACCAGAAGCTAAGCATTGTGCAGCAGCTACACGGGTACAGGCGGGCTCCTTTTTCAAAACGGGGCTGCCGATGACTTGAAGGATTGAGGGTTCAATTTTCGGTTGTTGTTTTTGTTACAAACCATTATTCGCATTATTCGTATTCTTATTCGCTTTATTCTTAATAGTCTGTAATACATATATAATGTGTACATACAGTTATTCATATGTATATATATATATATATACACTAAACACAGAACTCCACATGCATTGGGGGCCCGTGGGTCGCTCGTCTTTCAAAAATGGGGCGCTTCCCGCAGCGAGAGAGAGAGAGAGAGAGAGAGAGAGAGAAAGAGAGAGAGAGATAATGTCTGCAGGGACTGGTGAGGAAGGAACTCTGGACGGGAGGGCGTAAATCAGCATCGCTGACGCATCTTGGGTTTACTCTACTCTGGTCCTCCTCCATGTCCTCCTCCTCCGGGGTGGCCTTCCGAGAAGGGGGCTTCTCAATGCCCAGACCCCCTGTCGGGGACACGTAAGACTCAGGTTGGCCTCACGGGGCCGTCGGAAAATGGCGAGATCCGATCTGAGATTTGACGCGAGCTCCCGCTGCAACCCTATCCCACGAAACCTGGGTCGTCAGAACTCAAGACGGGCTCGTAAAAAAAAACGCCGGCAAACCCGAGCTCGGGCGAACCCGAGGCTCACGTTTTTTTGGTCGAACCAAAAGGGGGTCCAGCTGAAAAGGGGTGGTGCAATAAATTTGGGGCAATTGTGTTGCAAATGCATTGCGCCGGAGAATTGTATCGCCTTGTGCTCCAATTAGTTAATGTTTTGCACGCGAAAAACCAGCAATACATTTGCGCCCCGGAATTTATTGCACGCCCCACATGTATAGCAACCCCACAAATCTATTGCACCGAATCTTTTGTACCGCCTCCTTGTCGCTGGACCCTCTTTTGGGTCAACCCGAGTTTCCCCGCCTCTTGCGCTGTGGAAAGATCCTGGCGGGAAGTGCCTGGCAGCCTCGGGCCTCCGGGGGGGGGGGCGGGCCGCAGAGGCCTCTGCCCATCCCCGGGGGGGGCATTCTGGTCTGCCCTGGCCCACGTCTGGTTATACAGGGCCCAGAAGCAGCCTCCGGAGGCCGAGCTGGCAGGAAAAGTGCCCAGCTCGCCATCGCTCGGACGCCCATTCGACGTGCACTTCATGTTTTTGGGGCTTCGTGCGCGCAGGTTTGTTCGGAAGGTGGTCCAGGATGCTCCTCGATGGTTCTCGCCGAGGAAAAATGCGCACCTCCGAGCGGTGCCAAGCCACGGTTTTATAAACAAGTCTCCGCCCGAAGTCTGGGTCGGCCCCCTCCCATGGCCATCCGGGCCGATGTGCCAAGCCGCGTGCAACCGCGCCGCCGGCGAAGGCCCTCGCGCCTCGGACGTCACGTTTTTTGTTGTTTGTATTTTATGTTTTTGCTGTTTTTTTGGGTTTTGTTTTTATGTTATGTTTTTTGTTTTTTTGCTGTTTTTTTCCGTGGTGTGGGCCCAGGGGGCATCTCGATCCGTTCTCTTGGGCCCGTTTCCATCCTGAGTCGTGTCTTACGGCCTCGGGGCCAAGAGACGGCATCCAAATACCGAAGCCGTCGAAGTGTCTGCCGCCAACTGTTTATTGCTTCTTCGACGCCCCGCTTTTCGGGTACCTCCAGAAACGCGCCAAAGCCGGTACAAGTCGAACCACGTAACTAAATCGATCCCCGCCCCCACCAGAGAAACCTTGGCCCGTTGGGCGACCAACACCCCCTATGTGGGATGGGTGCCGTCCACATCCACACCCAGAGGGGTACGCTGCGAGAGCTAACCTCTGACATCCAACAATGTCTTTGGTTTTCAATGCGCGGCCCACGAGGTCCCGACCCCTTCCAAGGGGGGTCATTTTCCTACTTGGTTGAACAAGTCACGTCGTCGGAGATTTGGGGCCTACCCTGTCCTGGTCGGGGCAGGGACGGTTCGGACGGCGATGGCACGCCCAGAGGTCCGACGACGCGAAAACATGACAACAGTGTGAGACATCACCACACGAGCCCTCGACCCCACCTTCCTGCGGCATGGGGCCCTGTGCCCGAATGGGGCGGAAACGCATGGTGTGAAACAGATGCGACGCCCAGCTCCGAGAGGTATCTGAACTCCAGCGTCGTGCTTTTGTCACTGCGCGTGCACCCCCGGAGGTCTGGACCTCTTCCCTGGGGCTGCTTGCTCGGCCCGAGTCGTTCTCTGATGGTACGGGGGCAAGGTGGGGGGCCCCCGGAGGCCGAGATGACACCAAATCGTCCGTCTTGGTTTTGTTCACGACGCGAGCGAGCGATGTCTCGGACCTCCAGCGGCCGTTCGAGGAGACTCGGGCACCCCCAGACCGCCCCTCGGCGAGGCGCACGCAGCAGGGTAAAACACTTGCGACGCCAGCATCTCAGAGCTGTGCTGGTCGGGGCCGGGACGGTTCTGGCGAGGATGACAACACGGGGCCCTGGGACACACAAATGAACAGACACAAATGACAGGATTCCCTTCACTTCCCCGTAGTTTCCGGGTTTCTTCCCCCCCTACTTCCCATATTTTCTTGGGAATCGACGACTCATGGTGTCTGTGATTTTCCTCCCCTCCTCCTCCTCCTCCTGCGCCTCCTCCTCCTCCTCCTCCCTTTCCTCCTCCTCCTCCTCCTCCTCCTCCTCCTCCTCCTCCTCCCTTTCCTCCTCCTCCTCCTCCTCCTCCTCGTCCTCCTCCTCCTCCTCCTCCTCCTCCTCCTCCTCCTCCACCTCCTCCTCCTCCTCCCCCTCCTCGGCGCCGACGGCGGCGGCGCCCGCGCGCACCGGCCGCTCCTGCTCCACCGCCGCCCTGAAAGACTCCACGGCGCCCCGCCACGCGGCGGGCTCCGCCTCGGGGGCGCTCCGGCCCAGAGCTCCCCTCAGTGGGGGAGGGGGGCTGTCCAGAGGGGCGGAGAGCCCACAAGGAGGAGGAGGATGAAGGAGGAGGAGGAGGAGCACGAGGAGGAGGAGCATGGAGGAGGAGGAGGAGGAGGAGGAGGAGGAGGAGGAGGAGGAAACGGAAGACGGAGGAGGGATGAGGGGGAGGGGGGGGGTCACCGAGAAGGGGGGGTCCCCGAGGCGAGGGGGGGGGAGCCATATCGACCTGGAGTCGGCGACGCATCGGCGACACATCGGCGATCGGCCCCCGATGGCGCAAGCGCACGGTCCGCGGGGTGGGCTATCAGGCCCCCAATCGGCGAGGCACGGGCGATTCGTGGTCGATGCATCCCCCGCCTGAGCCCGTCGCCCCCCTGACGTGTCGGGCCTCTTGGGGCCAGCTTGGCAGCACATGGAGCTTCTCCTGAGACCTCTTGGGGCTGTCGAGCCGCAAACGAGATGAACAAAAAGACACGACATGCGAGGTCTGGGCGGCTCCTGCGAACACCGTGCGACAAGCAGGGCCCCCCGTGACGCGAACGCGGCTTCCGCCGACCCTGCTGCAACTTCCGCCGGGGTGCCGCCGCCCTCGCTGCGCTCTCGCCGGCTCCGGAGGGCGCAGGAGAGGGAGGAAGAGTCTGCGGGGATATGCAAGAAGTCATGCCACTGGAGGTCTGGGCGGTTCCTGCGAACACCGTTCTGGGTCAAGGCGCGCCCCCCCCCAGGAGCTCGTCGCCCCCTGGCGCTGCCCCCGGCGGACGCGCGGAATCCCAGACCTCCGGCGCCGGGAACACAAAAAAGAGGTTTACGGCGGAGGTTTCACGACGCTTCTGCATCCGGGGAGACGTGCGACTCGGGCTCGGAGTCGAGAAGCTTCGAGCACCTAATCGTGCCAGCTTCCATCCTAATCGTGCCAGCTTCCATATGATGGAAGCTGGCACCATGTTTTAACGTGTCGTACCTCAGCGCCGCGCACGTTCGTCTCTCTGTTTTCAACACTTGCACGTATCCAAAGCCGATCGCGTTCAACATGCGGCTCTCGCCGCAGCGAAGTGAACAGTCGCCCAAAAAGCTTCCAATCGTCATACGGACGGAGGCCCGCCTTTGAAGTGGGGCTCTCGCTTGCGAGTCCCTCAGCAGACATGTTACCACAACTTCTAGATTGTGTAGCATTTGCACAGAAAAAAAACGCTGCGCTGTCGCAATGACGACTCTCTCGTATCACACCCAGGCATGCAAGACGGCGTCCCAAGAAATCCCGACCCCTTCCCCGGGGCCGGTTTTTCATCCTGCGTCGTTTTTTGACGGCCCCAGGGCCCAGCGAGGGCCCCCAGGGGCCGAAAATAAGGAAAAACTGGCCGTCCTGATTTTTTCACGACGCGATCGTGTCTGGGTACGAACCGCCCTCTCGCATCACAGAACGCCTCGTCCTTGTCACACGAGCGGCCCACGGAATCGCAAGAGCAGACGAGCTTTGGAAAACAAGAGGGGCCCCCTCGCCTGAGACCTACGGCTAGACGTTGAGCATCGCGCAGCAGCTACACTTAGGTCGGGCCTGTCCCCTTACAGGGGGATTTGGGATGAAAAAAATTAAAATATCCAAAGCAACTCCATGCTCCAACATAATTAAAAAATAGCCTCCATACAATGTTTTTGACTATTTTTGAACATTCCTCGTGTAGAGGGACAGACCCGCCTTAAAGATACACGGGTGCAGGGGGGGTCCTTTTCTTTCAAGACGGGGCCGTCGCTGGGCGCGTCCACGAACTGTCAAGTTGAAAGCCACACCGTGTCGCATCCTCCTACAAGCGGACCTGAAGCCTCAAGAACCTCCTCTTCAAGAGCACGGGACCCTCCGCCGGCCAAAAAACAGAAAAACTGACAGGATGCGCAGGAACATCCAACAAGCACGAAGCACACCAGGATGCGCAGTAACATCCAACAAGCACGAAGCACACCAGGGCACCCTCCCCGAACCCGCCTTGATCTAGTACCTCGGTCCGACTGTACCTCGAAGGATGGAGGGCTTTTTATATCAAAGTAATATTATACACATACATACATACATACATACATACATACATACATACATACATGCATGCATACATACATACATACATACATAAAACATACATACATACAAACAAACAAGCAAACAAACACACAAACAAACATACAAACAAACATACACACACACACATGTCAATAACCATATACGTTTACATATACAGATACACATCCATAACCATATACACATATACACATATATATGTATATATATGTAGACATATAAAAAAGGGACTCACATCTGCATTGGGGGCCCAAGTGTCGCTCGTCTTTCAACAGGGGCGCTACCCGCAGTGAGAAAGAATGTCTGCAGGGACTGGAGAGGAAGGAACTCGGAACGGGGGGGCCTAATGCAGCATCGTTGACACATGTTAGGCTTACTCTGGCCCTCCTCCGTGTCCTCCTCCTCCTCCTCCGGGGTGGCCTTCCGAGAAGACAGGGGGCTTCTGAATGCCCAGGCCCCGCGTCGGGGAGGAGTGAGATTCGGGTTCGGGGGATACGGGTTGGCCTGGCGGGGATGTCAGGACAATGGCGAGACCCAATCTGAATTTTGGCGCGAGCTCCCGCTGCAAACCTCCCACAAGAACGGGACCGGCAAAACCCAAGACGGGCCAGCCAAGAGGCGTCGGCAAGTCTGGGTTCTGGCGAACTCGACGCTTGCGCTTCCCCGACAGAGCTCCGACGATGCAACTTTTTCAGCCGGCGGTCGACCCTGGAACTCGGCCCTTGGGGGCCGTGTTCGGGCCCCGGAGCACTCAAAGACGGACCGGGGACGCAGCACTACCCCTAGGTCGGGCATGTCCTCCTACATGGACGGAACATTTCAAAAATAGTTAAAGAGATGGTCAAACATAATACAAACATCCTCCCTAGACTATTTTTGACTATTTCTGAAAATTCCTCCTGTAGAGGGACGTGCCCGACTTAAGCCTAACATCGTCGGATGTGCGGGCTTCTGACCCCCAGGAGGCCCTCTCTGGGGTCTGGGGCCATGCGCAAACGACTCGGGATCCAAAGCTGGCCCTGGTCGGGGATTTCTGACCCGGGTAAACTGAGCAGTTCCTTAAGGTTGAGGGCTCAGGGTGGAATCCACATGGGCTTGTGCACCTCGAAAATTAATCCGTCTTGTAATTCACCTTGTGCAGATCGAGGCCTCGAAGATCAATCGAAACGGCATTTCAGATTTCACCCTTTGCCCACCCAAAGAAAATGCTCGGGTCAATCCAGACCCGGGTCAGTCAGGCCTTGCAGAATCCTGCAGAACCCTGCGCCCAAGCCCGGGTCAATGTGACCCTGGCCCCGCAGGATCCTGCAAGATCCTGTAAGATCCTGCCGGATCAATGCGACCCTGGCCCTGCAGGATCCTGCAAGATCCTGCAAGATCTTGCGCGCAAGCCCAGGTCAATGCGACCCCTGGCTCTGCAGGATCCTGCAAGATCTGGCGCTCTGGCTGACCCCCCTTTGCAGTCACCCCCGTCCCCAGACATATGACGTCCTGATTTGTTCAAGACGGCGTGACCAGAAGTCCCGACCCTTTCCCCAGGGCCGGTTTTTCATCCTGTCGATTTTGTTGACGGCCCCAGGGCCCGGCGAGGGCCCCCAAGGGCCGAAAATAGCGAACAACTGGTCGTCCTGATTTTTTCTACGACGCGATCATGTCTGGGTCTCTTTAGCCCCGATTTGGGGAAACCAGTCGAGACTTCTGGGGGAGATCAGAACATCGGGATCTCTGGGGATCCGGGCGAGCGCGAGCCCAGGCCAGCCAGGGCCACGTCGGGAACCCGGGGCTGGCCACACCACGACCCGGAGATCCTGCAGCTGCTACCTATGCCGCGCCGGACGCCTTCGCCCTCGCAGAGCGACCCGGCTCGAGAAGTGCTGCGGATAGATTGTCCGTGGGGCTCTGGCCGTGATTTCTTTGCACGCCCGAAATGGATACGGAAAGAATGGGTACAATGCCCAACAACAAATGCTGTCCCAAACCAACAGCGGCCGCTCTTGGGCAGGCGGCCTTCTGCCTCAAATGTACACAGGCCGCGGCGACACCGACAGCGAGTCCTGCTCAAAAAGAGCCAGACCTGCTGTTGGGCATGGTAGCCATTCTTTCCGTTCACATGTCGTTCATGCCGGATGTCTCCCCAAGTCGGTTTTGGTGCCGCGACGTCGGAGCTCGGGGGAGGTAGCTGGTCAAGCCCGGGTCGGCGGAAGGAGGGGGGCGGGGGGGGTCGGTCCCGCGTGGCTCCCAAACCCGGGGGCGGCCAGAGGGGAGCGGCTGGCCCCGTCGGCGCTGTCCCCCGTCACGCGGCATGGAAGCACGCGGGTTCTGAGGGAAGCCGGTCCTGGATCCCAGGGGCTTTCCCACAGGACAACCTGTTCTTCCCGATCCGTTCTTTTGAACGACGCGGGAAGAGCGACCCTCACCTCCCACATGAAGAACTTTAGACCAACTGGACCGCCAAACGATGCGAAAAACTGCAAGCGGGAACTGCTCGACGGTCAGCCGGCGACATCGCCGCATAATTCCATGAGAACGGCCCAAGGGTCCGGAGACCGCCCTGGGAGACCGAAAACGGCGAAAAGCCGCAGGGCCCGCTTCACTGACACCATTCCTTCGCGTACGAAAGACGGCATAACATGATATCTTCCGCAATCGGGGACACCTGTTCTAGGGCGACTGGAAAGTTTATATTCTCACGTGCCTTCCCTTCTTTCTGGACAACTCAAACCACCCCCACTCCCACCAGGGAAACTTTGGCTCCGCAGGCGGTCGTACCCCTCCTAGGTGGGGATGGGTGCGCACCCCTTTGGGTTTAGCAGCGCCCATCCCTATCTAGTGGGGGGGAGGGTACGCTGGGAGAGCGAACCTACCCTGGGATCCGACGTCGTGGAACATTGCAACAACCGAA